ACATCTACCAGGTTTTTGCCCTCTAAAATTGACCGGATAATAAGTGAACCTTTGGTTCCCTCTTCATCATTGACACGGTTTTCTCCGGCCACCAGCCACCACAAAATCCACTTTCAGCCATCACCACTACCGGCGGCCTACACCTACCGAATCCAGTTCCAGCCAGGCAAAGCATGTTTGGCTACCACTTAATTTTCTCCCACACATCGTTGTAGACCTCGAACCGGACATGTGCAGGATCTAGCAACTATGGAAAAATGAGCGCAAAATTCATATACTGAAAAGAATCCCTGCATACAGTTTACAGCCACATAACCAGAATTGGATTTATCTACGAGGATTGTATGGTGTATTGCCACAGCGTTCGTCTCTGAGAGTACTCGGGCGTAACCACAAGCCACCAGCAAGGCCGAAGAGATGTTTTAAGGGTATCCGATTGAGGTGACATGATGTTGACCTTAGTTACTAAGATATATATTGGTGCTTAGTTGGCTAGATTGCAAGCAATTCGATCCCAGGAGGAATGTAGAACAATCACCAGGGTTAGGCAGGTGGTAGACCGTAGATGCACCCTTTCATAGAGTTTTCTGCTGAGCTCACAGTCTACCCTCGTGGTTGGTTACAAATCAGGTCCCAATTCTCTTATATTATTGAGACTAATATGTAGGGTTTATAATCATTGTACGATGTATTCTATTACATTGCGTTCTAGATGTCATAGTCTAATCAGAAATTCCGTAACTCTACAAAAGTTTACATTTAGAAACCTTTAAGTGAAGATCCCTGAGCGCTTGATGAAACATACAAGATCACTCTGTTAAGATGCTTCTGCAAAACTGATGCTAGGAGATGACAAAAGTAGCCCCAACAACGAGATTTCAGCTAAGACTCCATGCCCTGAACAGCTTGAACAAGTACATAGATCAGACTTGTTACATCGCCAGAGTAGGTAAGATTGCTGTAGCCTCACCATCAAGAACAACAAGGCCATCATTTTGGGAGCACTTGGTAGAGAATTTTGCACTGAAACATGTCAAAACAAAAAAAAAAAAAAGCTGTGTCAGGGGATCGAATGCCATTGAATGCATAATTTCGAAGGGGAGAGAAGAATTTATTTAATGGAATTTACATGTATTTGTTCTTCATTTCTCTTATATTAGTTGCTTGAACTTCACTAATAATCTCCTCTCCAATATATACTGGTAATTTGAACTGCAAGGTTTGTGAAACATATACAGCTCCAGGCTACACAAATAGTAATATAAAAGTGTCAGCATAGTCCCACTTGTAAACAATTATCAGGTGTCACAGAAAAAGGCCCAACCCGATGGAAGAGAGTTCTCAAGCTTCATTAAGGGGCAAACAATAGAAATCCAATGGCACAGAATACATCATTTTGTCATGCCTGAGACAATACTGTTAAAGAGATCACCAGCATAACAAGGAATGGATTCATTAATTAATTGGCATCTTTTAAATCACGTCCCAAAAACCAACATCAGTACAATCTTATGGCCCCACATCATGCAATCATGATCAACAAACATTAATCATGTAGGCTCTCATCCTTTTACTTGGTGGCATTTCCTTTTTATAAACCTGTGTAATCATGTTTCAAACACTTCGTTTTAGTTAAATGTGTCTTTTACAGGCCCTATTTGATGCAATGAAAATCATTTTGCAAGGAGATAGGTAGAGTACAGTGGTTAATTTACAAAAAATAACTATCATTGAAGCAGACACTGGATATATGAAGTAATTTTCTTCCAGGTCAAGCAAACTAAAAGTGTTTGCAAAGGTTCCAAACGGAACATGTTTTAGCTGTCACAGTTTAGAAGCAACCAACTGGGGAATGCCACTTTTTTTCTTTGACAGGAGTTTTGTCTACTGCAACAAGGACATATCCAGAGAATCTAGTTTAATTGGCTACTGCTGATACGTGTTTTGTCCTCTCTGCATTGTAAAATCGAGCCCAGATTGAAAAATTCATTGCTACATGGACCAGATATCAGATATATCAACAAAGTGAGAAGTTAGGTATGCTAGAATTGGAAACTTACAAAATGGGAAGCAATGATTCTAGGAAATAACGAAGCAACAAGCATCCCAGGAACGAGTACACCTTTGAATCCAGCATTTCTGGCACATTCAGCGTCAAAATGTAGAGGGTTGGAGTCATAGCTCAGCTTTGAATATTTAAGAACATCCTCATTTGAAAATGTTCTTGCCTGCTTTAAAATGGCTCCAGTTTTCAGCGTATTTGGTGCTGAATAACAGGAGAAACCCAAGGAGGGAACAAACGTAGAAATGAGACGCTTCACAAGCATCTTCTTAGAGGCCTTCAAAGGGCACAAAATCCGTCTTTTAGATCGGGTGAAAGCGCAATTAGAACACCAAGAGCATGGACGCAACTAGTGACACAATGCACTAGCTTTTAAGGAGCTAAAAGCATGCGGTGAACACAAATACTGTCACAGGAACACCGTTTAACATAACAGTGGCGCTCTCAGATACCGACACACAAAGAACAGCAGTACCACTGCAGATAGCCCCTTTGACATTTAAATGCACCTGTAACAGGGAGATCAAGTAACCTGATTATATTCTACAAAAAAAGTTAGTGCACTAGACAGTGAAGAAATATGAGGGACCACTGTTCAACACAATGGTAAAGTGTTGGTCTAACAACTGAGAGATTGGGTGTTTAAATTTAAGGGCTGCAACTCAAGAAATATGAATGAGCATTGTCTAGGCAGTGCTAAAGTGTCGGGCTAATCGAGAGGCTGCGATTCTTGACCATTGGATCGGCAAGGGTGTGATTCAGATGGATCATGAGAAGAAGTCCTTCTCTATTCCTTCCTAAGGTAAGGAAGACTTTTTTTCTCCCCGTGAGCTCCTCTTTGAGAAGCCAATGAGTATAAAGACAGTCTTAGCCTCCTTTTAACATTCTATTCGTCAGCCATTTTATGCAAAAATTCCAATTCCACCTCCCAATCAGTTAAGAGAGTTATATTCAGAAAATAAAAAAAACTCTGGTAGTTCAGGCCCTGTGCAACAAAAAACCGTATTTCATGTGAACCTAACATACATCACAAACAATGCGCAAGACTATAATGTCAAAAAGGGGAAAACATACAATAGAAAAACATAATTCAATTAACTTGTTCAACAAAAGATTACTTGCAACACAATTTGTACCAAATGGAGATAAATAATCAAAAAATCACCTACAAAAGATGATTCACAAACGTGAAGAAATGCCAAGTCAAAGCCTTAAACTGAAACCAATGACTTATAAGAAAGATATGTCAAGCAATAATAGGCACTTGAATAGCAAACTTAAGTGTGATTTGATAGCAATGTTAAGGGGCTTCTCCTTTGTCACTATTACTGCTGTCCACTTCCTTGTATCATTTGCCCACCAATCAAAGAAATTCAATTTGGGTTCCATTTGTTCTCTACAATGGGTTAGATTCACAGTGACGTGTAGGTATCATCTACCCGCAATGCAATAACCTAGAATCCTCTAAACACCAATAAACCCAGGAAATCTTCACAACTAAGATCTCAAAATCAAGAAATTGGCATAACCCATTTGAGCCAACCACAAAAATTTGACTTTCACAATGAACAACTCAACTGCACTTGGCATCCTTCCAATTGGGGTAGGGCAGGAGGACGGTATTCATTAATCATTCTTCATTCAGTCACTGCATGCTGTGACATGAAATTCTAAAAAAACAAAAACCATAATTTCTACTTAGAATTACACAACTTGATTCACAGTGATGTAAACTTACAATACTATAGCACCCTAAATTTAGATTTAAGATATAGGATATTATTGGCAGTGAGATAATAAGTTCTTTATTCTCTGTCCCCTACAACCTCCTAATTGCAAGTGCATTGAATCCCTTCTGAAAAACACCAACAACCCACAAAAACCAAATCACTCTTTAGCAAGAAAATGTAAATTCATGCCAACAATGCATACATAAATGCATATAAAGGAAAATCAAAAAACCCAAGTCATTAGAAGGAAAAATTAAAATACCAAAAATCATTGTTTTAAAGGAAAAAGAGAGAGTTTGGCAGGGGCTCCTGGGGATACTAAAGGGTGAGACAGGGGTGGGGATATTGTTCAAAATTTTGGGGTGGATCGATGGGTGGGGGGCGCTTTCTGTGTGAGCAAGTGGTTGTGGGGGAAGAAATCAACCGGAGTACGTGCACGCGCGCGCGTGTGTGGTGCATCACTGATGTGTGTGTTTTGTTGGGTTTGTCTATGTGTGGGTTAGAGGCTGTTGAATGCGTCGATGATTGGCAGTGGAGCAGGGGATGGAGGAGAGAGGGGGAGAAAGGGAGGGAGATATAAGTGGAGAGTGAGAGGGTAGCGATGGTGGCTGTTGGCATTATTGCTGGCTACGTCTCCATGGTGCTGGGTCACTGGATCAATGTGAGAATGGTGGTCGCTGCTCAGGCAAATAGAGAAGAGAGAGTGGGAAGACAAGATGGAAAGATAAGATCAGAGAAGTGGAGGAGAGAAAGGGGTTATCAGACACATTAGAGAGAAGAGTTAGGGAGGGGAGGGGTGAAATGTGGGGGAGCACTTGACTTTGACAGAATTTGGTGGGATATTTTCTGGGGTTAAGAACTTAAAAAATAAGAACTGATGATTACATCAAGATATTTCAAATAGCAATTTATTACACAATACACAATCAATTTGAGCTTATTAAAAATAAAAACAAAATCATGATTCGGATACAGATACTCAATAATAACCACGACCAAGTTCATATGAGAATCTCTTCGTGTCGAATGACCCGACACTTGCAACTAATTTGAACACAATCAGGCCAACATGTTTAATAAATCGGTCTTGTTCCTTTTGACACTACTCTCCAGTCTACACGTTTAGTACGTGGGTCATGGTTGGATTAACACGATCAACACAACTAATATGACCCGTTTATCCAATTTAACTACTTTCAACCTATTTAAGTCCAATAAATTCCAATTTCCATGTTGGACTATACCTATTTAACATATTTAATTACTTTATCAGTCAATATGTTTACTGGACTCCACACTAAAGGATGGGTCCACTCTATGTAAGCAAAAACTATTTGTGCTAGATCAGTAGGGGGAACATGTCTGCGAGGGTCTCAAGCCTTGATCCACACACAATGCCATTCAAAAATTTAACAGCCTGGAAAGAGAAGAAAACTACCAGTCAATATGCCAACTGGAGTAAATTGCTATTCAAACCCAAGCTCCTCGGTAATGCATAGAGGAATAAAAGAATTGACTTGATTCGGAATGAAGGGGGTGTAGGCTGTGGTGATTGGGGCAATATTTTTCTTAGGCATTTCAACAAACACTTCATGCGCATGATGAAGGGGTGGGGGCTCTGGTGCAAGGGAAAAAGGGAGAGAGAGATTTCGCCGGAGGTTTGTAGGGTGAGTGAGCATTGTGCGTGTGTGGGTGGGAGTGGGAGTGGGGTGTGGGTGTGGGTGTGGGTGTATGGGATGTGTGTGTGCGTGTTTTGTGTGCTGGGGCTGGGCTGGGCTGGAAAGAGATCACTGAGAGAGGGGGAGAAACAGATGAAGACAGAGATAGGGAAAGAAGGCAGGCGCTTTACGCAAAGAGGGTAGAAGTAGGATTTGGGGGGCGGGGGGGGGGGGGGGCGCGGCTTTGTGTGTGTGAGAGAGAGAGAGGGGGGGAGATAAGGGAATGGAGAGAAATACCTGGTGGCGCTGTGGCGGTGGCGTGTGTGAGAGAGAGAGAATCTGTGAAGGAGGGAGAAGAGAGAAAGGGAAGAGATGGGGACAGGGACAGAGAGGTGGCATGGCCTCTGACATAATGGGCGTGTGTGACAAAATAGGAGAGCTGGTAGGGAGTGCGTGAAATGACCGAGTGGATGTCCAAAATGCCTAGCTTTCTATGAAGTAGTTTTTTATGTGCGTGTGACGGTGTGAATTTGCCTACAGTTCGTTTGTTTAATAGAAGAATGGTAAAAAAATGTAAGAAATAAAATATTTTTAAAATTTTTATGTATATAGTTAGCATGAAAAAAATTATAGAACAAATAATTTTTTTTTTTGCTTGAATTTTTTCACAAATAATTAAATTTTTTTTTTGTAAAAAATGCAAAAAAAAATATAAAAAAATTGTGATCAATAACTAACTTTCTATTTTTCCTTTATTTTTCTTAAAATATTTTATTGGTGATTGTCTTACAATTATGTTTCGAGCCACTTTTTAAAAACAATTTAACTTTCAACTATAATTTAAAAAAAAATTTCTATTTTAGACCAATTTAATATGATTAATGATAATTTAGACAATTATAAAAAAAAAATTATAACTTTACTTTCTTTCAAATAATAGAATGATTTTTTAAAAAAATATTTCCATAAATTTTTCATTCTAATCAATTACATGAATGAAAATATATTTTCTATCATTTTTTTTATCACTATATTTGTTATCATTTTCACTTTTCATCGTTATCTTCTTTTTAACTAAACAGACCCAACCTTCTATGAAGCAATTGATCAAACACCCAGCATACAAACTGTACATACTGATTACTTAAACTTCATTTTAAGCATATCTAGTACATTTCGGCGAAGTGATTAAGGAGCAGTATACAGTATACAGTATACAGTACACATACTCCTTCCCTCGAAAGAGACTATGGGTGCATTTGTTGATGTTTTCGTTTTTATATTTTTTTATATATATAAAAACTAATTTTTTTTTTGTGATAAAAATTTAATAATATAAAATATGTTTGATAATTATTTATATTTAAAAAATTATAAAAAATAAAATAAAAAGTATGTTTGGTATTTTATCGAAAATGTAATGTCCCGGTTTCCCGGACCTGTTATTTGATTAAATCGATCGATCACGATAAATCACAAATAAATCTCCGAATAAAGGGTCAAAACTCTAATTGTCTCAATAAATTTATAATCACAATTTTGATCTCCAAATACCAATAAAATAATTTTCTCAATAAAATAATTTCTTCAATATAAAAACGAATTTGTTCAAATTATACATTATCCCAATAAACCCACAAAGTTAAAAATTATATTTAGATTCGTCTGTTTTCGATTCTTCAAATATCACCTCTGGTCCTTCCCTCCGAGATAATTTTGAAAAATATTAAAGGCGGAGAAGTATATAATATGACAGGAAACAATATGCACAACTAGAAAAGAATATGAATGATCAAATATCAAATAATTCAATCGATAGACAATCATAAATAAAAGAATCGAGAATCCAATTCGATAAGTCACATAGTTCAATATCTATCAAACCTAGCCTCATATTCGGGTCTTCTTGGTAAGATGACAAGTAATACTTAGGCATTTAAAATTCATACTCATATTGAACCATTACACCCTTCAAGGCTATAATCATAATCGCACCCCACAAGACCATAATCATATTTAAACAATTATGCCCCCAAGTACACTTCGTACA